AAGAATGCAAATTATCGCTTCCGCATAACCGATCAATCAAAGATCACACAATTGAATAGTTTTGGCGAACCCATGGCATTGGGCGGCGATGCTGCTGCTCATAATGTACAGATGGCCGCCGATGAGACCATTGCGGCCTTGAATGGCGCCGCTGTGGGCGACGCAGCGGCCCCGGGTGGCGAGGCAAACGGCAGCAGCAACGACACAAACACAGCCAGCAATGCATATTTGAGTGCAGCGCCCACGCCGAAAGCTTTGCGTTTGTTCAAGGATGTCTATCCGCAGGATGACCTGCCACAGATACCCAAATATGAACGTCTGCCGGCGCCGTGTCCACAAATGGAGAAGATCCTCAGCATCAGGCGGCGAATGTACGATCCGACACACTCGTACGACTGGCTGCCTCGCCTCAACAAGGAGAACTTCAATGCGGCGCCTGTGACCTGCTTCCCGCATGCACCCGGCTGTGAGGTGTGGGATAATCTCGGTGTGGGCATGAAGGTGGAGGTGGAGAACACAGATTGCGATAACATAGAGATAATCCAGCCAGGACAGACGCCCACATCCTTTTGGGTGGCCACCATTCTGGAGATCAAGGGCTACAAAGCCCTGATGAGCTACGAGGGCTTCGATACGGACTCCCATGACTTTTGGGTGAATCTCTGCAATGCCGAGGTCCATTCGGTGGGCTGGTGTGCCACACGTGGCAAGCCCCTAATTCCCCCACGCACCATTGAGCACAAATACAAGGATTGGAAGGATTTCCTAGTGGGTCGTCTGTCTGGGGCCCGTACGCTGCCTTCGAATTTCTACAACAAAATCAACGACAGCCTTCAGTCGCGCTTTCGCCTAGGCCTGAATCTCGAATGCGTTGATAAGGATCGCATTTCCCAGGTGCGCCTGGCCACCGTCACCAAGATAGTGGGTAAACGTTTGTTCCTGCGCTATTTCGATACGGATGATGGCTTCTGGTGTCACGAGGACTCACCCATTATACACCCAGTGGGCTGGGCCACCACGGTGGGTCATAATTTGGCCGCACCACAGGACTATCTGGAGAGGATGTTGGGTATGAGAGAGATGTTTTTCAATTGTAATTTTCACTTAATGCCCCTCCCTTTATAGCCGGTCGTGAGGCCATGATTGAGGTGCACGAAGACGATGCAACTATCGAGTTATTCAAAATGAATTTCACCTTCGATGAGTACTTCTTGGATGGCAAAACCAATGGTTTTATCGAGGGCATGAAGCTGGAGGCAGTGGATCCCCTCAATCTCTCCTCCATTTGCCCGGCCACAGTGATGGCCGTGCTGAAATTTGGCTACATGATGATACGAATTGACTCGTATCAGCCGGATGAATCAGGGTCGGATTGGTGAGCCTTTCGTTAAACCAATAATGTGGAAAATTAAAGCAACTTTTCTTTGTTTATTTTGTCTGCTGCAGGTTCTGTTACCATGAGAAATCTCCATGCATTTTTCCTGCTGGTTTCTGCAGTGCAAACAACATTCAAGTGACCCCGCCAAACGGCTACGATTCGCGAACCTTTACCTGGGAGACTTATCTGCGAAATACTGGGGCCGTGGCCGCCAATCAGCATTTGTTCCATCGTGTGGTGCCCGAGCACGGCTTTGAGACGGGCATGAGCTTGGAGTGTGCCGATCTGATGGATCCTCGGCTCGTCTGCGTTGCCACAGTGGCTAGGGTCGTGGGTCGCCTATTGAAGGTTCATTTCGATGGCTGGACAGATGAGTATGATCAGTGGCTAGACTGTGAGTCGGCTGATATCTATCCAGTGGGTTGGTGTATTCTCGTGGGCCATAAGCTGGAGGGACCGCCACGAGTGTCCTATCAGCAGGTGGCTAAAACTGCGCCCAAGCCCAAGGTGCCAAGGAAAAAGAAGACCAAGAAAGGCGCTGCACCATCCGGCGAAGGAAGAGGGACAACCAAGCAACATAATGACAACAATACGCAGACGGGTGAGGAATCTAAGCTGCTCCAGCTACTGCTCTGTATTTATATGCTTCCTTTTTGCTCTCAATCTTTTAGTTAAACCGCGAACCATTGCCTTGAAGACCACACCGCATTTGCCCAAGCTGAGCATTAAGCTGGAACTAAAGCCAGAGCATCATAATGCCGCCTTCTACGAGAACAATCAGCCCGAGGATGGGGATGCAGATGAAGAGGAACCAGATCCAGATGCCGATGCCGAACTAGATGGAGATGGTGATGGCGATTTCGATGGTAGCACCAGTCACATATCTGAGCAATCAACCACACACTCCTCCAGTGATCAGATACCTGGAAGTGGGAGTGGCGGCGGTGGTTCCATCTCAACATCGGTTGTAACTACTGTTACGGGCGGAGTCGGCAACAGTAACAAAATGGTAAAGAAATCTTCCACTACTAAATCACCGGCGCCACCAACTGTGGGCCGCAAAGCCACTAGCTACATTGCGGTAAGTATTGGTGTGTAATAATAGTGCGTAGAAAATCATCAGCCAGCCTAGACCCAGACCCAGAACGCTACTCCGCCTAATCAATCGCCTGCCTATCGTTCAGCATAACATTCTAACTCCATTGGGGGCTCAACAAAAAAGCGCCAAATATGTATATAATTTATTTTCACGCACTGTTTACCACCAACCGCAACCCACCATATCCATCCAAGCATTCAACCAAAGAACCTATTCATGCAGCTATAACCCAACAAACTGTTTGTTTACGTTTTCTCATTAATTTGCTTTCATTTCTAGAACTCGTCGGCGACTAACAGCAAGTACATTCCACGTCTGGCCGACATTGATGCGAGTGAGGCGGCCCATTTGGAGCTACAGCCGGACTCTTGGAACGTGTACGATGTGTCGCAATTTCTGCGTGTCAACGATTGCACCGCCCACTGTGACACGTTTAGTCGCAGCAAGATCGATGGCAAGCGTTTATTGCAATTGACAAAGGATGATATAATGCCACTGTTGGGCATGAAGGTGGGACCAGCGTTGAAAATCTCCGATCTGATTACACAGCTCAAGTGTAAGGTGAATCCGGGTAGGGCCAGATCCCACAAGGCCAATAAATCCTCATACTTATAGTGCGGGGTTGATGTTTGGATTTGGACTTTCATAGATTTTTCATATTTTTTTAAAAATCGATACGAAATTTATCACCGATACACACACACACACTTATATTTATAGAAATATATATAAAACACACTGAAGTATTTGTTAGCCCTTGAAAAACGTTGCCTACACCACACACAATTGTATAACTTCATGCCAGTCTCATACCCATTAGCTCGCGTTATTTTATATATCGATTTAAATCGTGTCATAGTCCGTACGTAGTAGCGCTACAGATAGACGTACGCTCTTGTTACAACACTCAGAGTTTCTTTATCACAAACAAATTGTACAGGAGATCATCAAATTTTTGGGGGAGTGGGGAACACAAAACATTTTTCTAAAACTCATAGTATTTTTGTTATACATAATCAAAGGTTAAGCAATATACAATATAATGTATATTGTTATATTTGTAAATAGGTTACATTGTTGACCAAGCAAAAAGTCCTGTCCTCCATGGTTCCCCCCCAACCCCCACCACCCACCCTATATACTATCCACACAATTTCTTATTTGAAACCATGAAATCCATGCAGCATCTCGTCATGTTAGTCGGGATCCGCGGTCTGCTGCTCCTAGTCCGTAAGAATCAAAGAGAGTTATCACCAGCGCCTACAGCCAGCGCGCGCTCTCTTGCTCCAATTTGTTTGCTCTTTTCCGTAGAGAGTATTAAATGGTATACATATACTTTTAAAGAAAGGCAACCCAAACCCCTTAAATATTAGTTCATCTAAGGTATCTAGATAGCATTAAGGTACCAGCTAATGTCGAAAATACTTAATAAAACCGAATTCGAAATTGCAAGTATTGAAAGAATACTTTTATATTCTTTTTATTATATTTGGGAATGGGATTTGATGCTTAATGCTTTCAGGTGCTACCTTGTATTCTGCTCTAATGGAGAGATCTTCTTCGTAGCTTGAAGAATTAATGGGTAATAGTGCTCAGTGCTATTAAAATATTTTATTTACTTCCAGAGTTGAGATTAAAAGACGAAAAACTATAAGAATGCTTTAATGCAGATGCTTTAATGCAGATCGCTTTATGGCTTTATGTTTTAACGGAACTGCAAGAAATACTCTTCTACCTGCTTAAATCGTATCTGTAAAGAACTGATAAAGAAATTAACTTCAAGTGGTGGTAGTGGATGGCCCTCATATTTGAACTAAGGCTCCAAATATTGTCGTGGAAATTAGAGACTATAGGAAACAGTGGAATTACAATTGGGCTTAGATTATGAACTGAAAAATAGGTTGTATGTGGTTGATTATTTTTATATTCGGAATAAACCGCATATTATACAGCTCCCTGCTGCAGAAATCTTGAAACGATCGCTTCCATATTCGTCATGAACAGTGCTTTTTAAATGTTGTACTTTTCCCACTTCTATTTTTCCGTTCATTTTATTTTTTATTCCAAGATTTCAATGGAACGAATCTACTTGGATCTATTTTCCTCAAAATAAAACACCAATACATATTCCTTTTTACATATTTTTGTAAGTTTCTTGTTTATATTCTGTGGATATTAATACAATTGTTGACATATAAACTAAGACTTAATGGCTAGGGGTCTACAGTTATGTTTGGTGGCTCAATATTTTAAGCTAAAATTTTGATTAAACATTTTTCAACACACCAAACTATGAACTCGGATTCAGATTCACAGTTATACCATATAGCTATAGTTATATGTATGTGTGTGGGGTGTCTGTTGATGTATTTTTTCGATGCAGGATGAATTGAAAAATAGTTGCCATAACCGATAGAATTTTGGGTGGATGGGAAATAAAATAAAAGGGTAGGGTTGGGGGTTTCCATTTACAGTAAAAAGTAATAGGCGTGTGCTTATGTACAGAGTGTTTTGTTTTTGTTTTTTCTTCGTGTCTAGTTCTTAAATACATCTAGAAATGTTTATAGTAGTTTAATATGTCTAATACCTTAAGCCTAGCTTTAAAGTTGAGGCGATTGTTTTCATCTCCATCTTCCATCTTCTTTTTTGTTTTGTTTCCATCTCTCATCTTTATTTGCTTTATCTAAAAAGGCCTCAATAACAAACTTATAATAATAAAATACTAACATTTACAGCTTTTCGTTCCGTTTTGAAAGGAAAAAAATAATAAATAAAGTAAGAGCTTGTGCAGAAAATATTAGAAGGGGCGGACAGCGAAGGACGAGGGGTAAAGCCTCTCGTGTGTTCTCGATACGCTTCAATCCTTAATTTACGTTCAAGGCGAGCTTCTCTGGACATACATACATATATTCATATTCTGTGGTTCTGTGAATCTTTAAGCATCAATTGATTTAACTTGAATTTAAAATAAATATTCTACTACCAAGCATACAAATATATAATTACTTTACTTTACACGATGCTTGTGTATGAAGCCGGAGCTGGATGAGGAGGTGGGCTCTCCTCCTCCTCGCTGGGTCGTCGCTTCTTCGATGGCGGCGTTTCACCATTAATCGCTGGTCCTGCTGGCTGCTGTTGCTCAAGGCTGGAGCTTGCTCTCTTCTTGCTGGGACTGCTACTGCTGTCCAAGGGATGTTCAGTGTCATCCAGCACGCTAACGCCTCCAGTTATCTCGGTGACAATGTGTGCCTCTAGCGATGGGGGCAGTAGAGGTGACAATGGTACTGAATTCAGATCACAGGCTTCCTCAGCATCGTCATTATCATCGTTGGCCCCTCCCATATTGCCAAAGAGATCTACAGCATGTCCATCCCTACGCATCACCTCGTCATCCTCATCATCATCATCACTGTACTCGTTATCCCAAAATACCTGGGCACCTGGGAACACATACGAACAGTTGTTCGTGTGACAATAGAAGGTGCCTGGCACCAGACGCTCGGCGGCTGTCTGTCGCTTGCCGCCTCGCTGTGCCGGCATGGGTGTTAAACCTCGACCCACAACTCTCTTGGTCTCTTGGACCAGATTACTGGGACGAACATAGCAGCTGGCAGGGTTGGTGGAGGAGGCTTCGTTGTCGCACTGCTCAATGCCGCTATCCTTTGAGGAGTCGATCGACAAGTGGCGATAGCTCTCAACTGGCGGCGCAGTACCAGGTGAAACGGCAGGTACTGCTACTATTTCAGCTGCCGCTTCAGCTAGACGCTCGCAGCTCGCAATGTCTGTCTTGATGCGCTCAATGGCAGCCCGATCCTGGGCATCTTCGGCACTGGGCGGGCGCTTGTTGCCTGTGGATGTGAATGTGGAGGACTCAAAGCCAGAGTCGGAGCAAGTACCAGCCGAACCCAAAATGTAATCGGTCGAGCTGTTCGACTTGAGGGACTGTGTATCTGTGTCCAATTGTGACTGCTGCTCGCTTTCCGAGATGCAGTGTCGATGGTGCAGATATTGATGGTGATGGAGGCTGAGGTGATGGTGATGCTCTGGCGGTAACAGATCCTTGCATTCGGTGAGTATTGCCTCATCGGAGCACATCTGCTTCCAGCAGCCATCGTCACCGGATAACCGATGACAAATCTGATTGATAATAACATCCGAGTCACCCAGCAACTCCACGTCAAACTTCAGATGATGCAACTGCTCACGATTGATGAGAATCTGCGGCACCGTTGCCGGTATGCTGCTGGGAATGTGGGCCACTGGTCGCACTTTCAGCGAGGAGCCAATCACAATCAATAGATCGCAAGAATCCTTGTCTGTGGCCATCACTGTATGGTACTCATCGGGTAAGCCTAAAGACAGAGAAAAGAAAATCAAGTCAAATGGAGGCCACTCTATAGGCAGAGCGATTCCAACACTTACCTTCGCCAAAGAAAACAATATCGGGCTTCATTATGCCATTCTCGACCAGCTGCCGGAGCTCATCTTCGGTGACAGCCACCGAGGCATCCACACTCAGCTCCTTATTGGGCTGGCACTTCGGGCAGACGGGTATCCGTTGTGCAAAGATATCGGCCCGCAGGGCGTCTGCATTGCACTTGAACTTGCACTTGGTGCACGAGGCCGTCGAGAAGGAGCCATGGCATTCAATGACCCGCTGAATGCCCGCCACCCTCTCCAGTGTATCAATATTCTGCGTATAATTACGCAGCAGTTTGCCTTTGGTCTCCAGCATCTTGATAAAGCGATGGCAAGGCGAGGGCCTAAACTCCCCCGGATAGATCTCGCGGGCAAATTTGTAGAAGGGCCGCGGGTCACGCTTGAAGTAGTTGATATCAAACATGGCCTGTGGATCTGGTAAATCGGGGAAATCGTGGGCCAGCCGGGCATAGATGCCATTGGTGGAGCGAAAGTCTGGTATGCCACAGGAGACAGAGACCCCAGCGCCAGTTAGGACAATAATTCTGTGAGATTTCTGCACCAGATCGATGACATCGTCAAAGGTATTAACATTCGACAACTTGTTACGCCGCTTCGGCTCGTTCAACAGATGGGCCAGATAGTCCCACAGCACAGAGTCATCGGTGTCGGCTGTCAGACCTGTGGCAAAGTGCGGCATTATGCTGGCAATCACCTTGCGGGGCACACGGCCCGTGTAGAATTCGCGTTGCAGCCAGCGGAGTTTCCAGTCGGTGGCACCACCACCGCCAACCGACGAGCAGTCCGAGCTGGTGTCGTCCTCATCCTCGTTAGTTTCCTCACCAGTCGCTTCCTCGTCATCATCATCATCATCGTCGTCGTCTTCTTCGTCATCCTCCTCTTCCTCTTCTTCATCGTCACACTCGGAGTTGGATTTATCCAGAAGTTTTGACGGCTGCAGCGATGGAGGCACATTCAATATTTCAGCTCCCATATTGGCGCCAATTTCTTGTTCTTCAAATATTTTTGTTTTGATTTCAACATTTGCTTTGGCTGCCGGTCCGCCGTCGCCTGTTGCTGTCGATGTTGATGTCTCTGTCGCAGTCGCGCTCGACGTTGTTGCCATTATTTCGGCGCCAAAATCAAAATTTGTTGAAGTGTTCTCAAAGCTGAGAAACTCTTTGGCATTCGGCAATTTCACTTCGGCCATGTCGGCCAAATCCTTGGCTATAATATGACCCAAGTGAATTTCCTCGTAGTTTTCCATCATTTTTCCCCCAACAGGCGCACCACCGAGTTATTCGAGTGTTGCCTTCTGCTGCTGCTTCTTCTCAGCGCTCTCTTCTTCTTGCCACTCACTGATTCGCTCTCTCTATGCGCTCACTCTCTTTGCGCTCTTGCGCCGTCCGTTTTCACCGCTCTTTCGTTGGTACACACAAAATTTTACGTCGTCAGCTTCGCACCCATTTGGCTTGATTGAAAAAATTCTCCAGCTAACAATTATGGGCCAATTTTTGCAATTGTTCGAATTTATTTCACTTAATTTTACTTAGATTTAGTTTGGAAAAAATTTGCACTTAATTTAATTGAGTTTTTTTCGTAATTTTTAGACGTAATTTCTGGAAAATTTTCCGATGAAAAAGCAAGATGGCACACGTAGCTGCGCGTGTGTGAGTGCATTTAAAATGTATCAGTGGCCTCCAGTGATACCTTGCCACGCTGCCAAAAATACGCTAGCGCGTGAAAATACTGCAGTGTTGGTTATTTTTAGGGTATTTCAGCCATAAAAATACAATGTTTAAAGAGAAAAATGGGGCGTTTTCGCTGTGGTACAGTAGAAGCTCGATGCCACAGATGGCCCAATCAATGAATGGTTAGTAATTGATAATATTTCACCTATAACTTTATTCCACTAATTACATTTTGATATTGTTACATTTGGATTTGAATCTCAAAGGTTACTATTAAATAATTCAATATAATCCTTAAGTTTTTCGAATTTCAGGTGTTAAATTGATAATGAAATTCATATTAATATCATGAAAGATAGACGAAAAACATTGAAAACATGTTTCAATTATATAAACGCAAGATGTTCTATTGTGCCAGTGTCTACTGTTCTTGCTGGCATTTGCATTAATGGTATTTTCGTAATTTATTTATTGAAGGCGATTTCCCTGCTCTCGCACTTGGTAACACTAATTAACTACGAACTGAAATTACTGTCATTGTCGAAATTTTTTTATGAAACAAAAAATATAATTGTTTGTTCAACAGAAACAATGTACTGTAGCTTTAGTTTATAGGGGGCTTCAGTTGCATAAACATGGACAATTTGAACCTATACGAATTGCTGGGAGTGGCTCCGGATGCAACCGATGACGAGATTAAAAAGGTAAAGCGCAATTCTCCTTTTCTGGAAATGCATTTTGTAATGTTTATTGGGATGCACTACTTAGAACTATCGCAGATTGGCTAAAGAATTCCATCCAGATAAAAATCCCGATGCTGGTGACAAGTTCAAGGAGATAGCTTTTGCCTATGAGGTGCTGTCAGATCCGGAAAAACGTCGCGTATACGACCGCCATGGTTTGAAGGGGCTGCAGGAGGGTGCCGAAGGTTTCGCAGATGCCTCCGACCTCTTGAGCCAATGGTTTCCATTCGGCGGGGCCACCGGCGGTCGTCCCAAGCGTGAGGGAAAAGTGGTGATTAAGCTGGAGCTGACGCTGGAAGAGATTTATGTGGGTGGCATGGAGAAAACGTTGGAATACAGTCGACAGAAGCTGTGCGAAAACTGCAACGGCGATGGTGGGCCCCAGGACGCACATGAGAGCTGCGAGGCTTGTGGCGGTGTCGGCCGAGCTGCTGCCTTTACCTTCATGGGCCTAAGCCCTTTCGATGCTGTAACTTTATTTCTTGTTGTTTGTTTTGTTGGCAGTCGTTGACATTTTTTTCGCTTTTGCAGACCTGCCCGGCATGCGATGGACGTGGTTTTACCATCAAAGACAATAGGAAATGCAGCCCATGTCGTGGCAGTGGCTTTGTGGAGGAGAAAATGAAACGGGATCTGATCGTGGAGCGTGGTGCTCCACACATGCTGAAAGTGCCCTTTGCCAAGGAGGGACATCAAATGCGTGGAGGTGAATTTGGCGATCTGATTATTGTGCTCGCCCAGCAAGACCATTCAACCTTTCAGCGACGTCACGCTAATCTCTATATGAGAGACCTGGAGATCAGCCTAACCGAGGCTCTCTGCGGCTATACGCATTGCTTTAATCACTTGGATGGCCGAAGCGTGTGTTTGCGCACGCAGCCTGGCGAGGTGTTGCAACACAATCACATCAAGATGCTGCGTGGCGGTGGCATGCCCGTTTTCAATTCGCCCGCGGACACGGGTGATCTTTATATGAAGTTTAAGGTGAAGTTCCCTGAGAATGGGTTTGCCACAGCAGAGCAGATGGCTCTGTTGGAGGAAGTTCTGCCGCCCAGGGAACACATCGTCATTCCAGAGGGGGCCGAGGAGGTTGAGATGACCGACTACAAGCCACAAGCGCGTCCAAATCCACACGGGGATGATGAGGAGCACGGAAATTCGCCACACTTTGAAAGCGTCCAGTGCCAGACGGCTTAGTTGTTGTGGTTATGGCTACTGCAGGCTCTATACTTTTGCTTGGATCTTTGGCAGCTTCTGTTCACGCTCAGCGTGGACGAGATCTGCTTCTTGTTGCCGCTAGTCGTCTTAATATGCATAGTATTATTTATCATACAGGAATGTTTGCTGTGAAAAGCTGCGTGATCAAAATTTTGTAGTAATCGAGACTAAGCTTAGCTGGATATGGATCGCGTTCATTAATCCCACTAAATTATTGTACGGCTTACACACACTCTCTAAACCTAAACCTTAACTATTTATTTTTCTTAACTAAATACACATTTATCTCACTGTAGAAAAGATAACAACCAACTCGTGCATCGTCTTCCGTGTCAGTGTTTAAATGTTTTATTTGGAATTATTTACAAGTAGTGTAAGCTTAATAATTATAGGACTTGTTTTTCTTTGTTCATTTCAGTGTTAAATTGTTTTGTGGATGGATTGGAGCCTTCCCTACTGTTCTTCGTCGTTTGTGGCAGACTCATTCACGTCTGTGGGTGTTGGTGGCTGCTGCAGCGTCAAATCCGTGTCCCAGAGATTGCGAAGGAATGACTGACCAGCACCAGCATCATCCATGTCTGCAACGTTCTTTAAAGGCGGCTTCTTCTTGGGCGGCCCTTCCTCAATCATCTCTGTCATTGGATCGCATTGTTCAGTCGTGCGTGCGGCCTTGGAATCCTCCGTGCTTGGATTGACCTTCATTAGAGTCAAATACTGATTGTACTTTGTGTAGTTGCGGCGTCCAGTCTCATCGTTCATCAGCACACGGGCTTGGTTGTGGGACTTGTCACGATTGGTCTTCAAGCGGATGTGCTTGGTGATGTCCCAGCGCCAGTTGGAGCGGTAAGAGCACAGCGAGCACTCAAAGGGCTTCCGATTGAGATGGCCCACAATGTGAACATGGAAGCGCGAGGCAGTGGCTGCCCAAAAAGTGCAGTGTGGACATTTGAAGACCTTCTTCATGGGCGTCGAGTCATTGGCATCATTGCCGAAGTACGGTTCCGTGACCTGTAAACCAGAGAAGGATTTAGTGGAGCGTTCAATGAGCTTGTTCCTTTTCACCTCTCCATAGCCAGGAGCTGTTTCTACGCCGCAGTAATTGACATCACTTGCTGGTGCTGGGTAATCCTCCTCTGTTGAGGCCGCCATGTCTTGGCTGGGCAGGCAAGTAGCCAAAAGCTGCTTAGTGTTGGCCAAAGCAGGCGGACACAACTGCAGATGCTTGACCAGTTCCATGGCACTGGGCACGAGTTGTTTGCAGTGAGAGCAGGTGATCCCGGTCAACTCCAACGACGCGTCGATGGATGGCGAATGCGTTTTGGAACTGCTCGGCTTCAAATCCAATTGGCCCTCCTGTTTCTTGGCGGCACGACGACGAGTGGGATGGCCCACGGCGGGCACATGATGGTTCAGCTCGTGTATGGTTAGTGATTGCTTGATGTCCGTGCTGAAGTCACAGAGGCTGCACTTAAAGTGCCCATCGGCGCCATGGTTCTTGGTGTGTCTGTCCAGATTCCACTTGTAGGGCGAGTGGAAGTCGCACAAGTCACACTTGATCAGGGGCATCGAATGGTATTTGACGTGCTTCTTGAATCGGGCACGAATCGGCGTGCTATACGAGCATTTCTGGCACTGATACTTCTTTGGGTCGTTGGACATGGCAGTCTCCTCGTTGGTCGGACTGCTGCCCTCTGAATCGGAGCTGCTGTTGTTGTTCTGAAAGTCCATTTGGACGGAATCGTTTGTGTCAGGCGTGGGTGGCATCATCTTGCTCTGGAGCTCAAAGGCCATCGAAAATATATTGTCGCCGTTGGCCACGATCTTCTGTAGCTCCTGCATCTCCTGCTGGCGATTGTAGGCCTGCACATTGGCCAGCAAATCCTGCTCCTGCTGCTTCAGCTCAATCTTAAGCTGCTCCAGCGAGGGTCCGTTCTGCATTACGTGCACCAGTCCGGGAGAAATGCCTTTGCTGTCGTCTGCCTCAACCACAGCCACAGCTGCAGCCGGACGTGGCATTTCGATGCTCTCCTCCAGGCGACGCTTGAGTGCCTCGCGACTTATATTGCGCTTGCCGCGCCCCTGTCCCTCTTCTCCGGGCAGGCGCTTTGACGTATCGGTGCAGCCATGCACCATCTTCATGTGACGCACCAGCTTCTGGAAATGGCGCGAGGCATAGAGGCAGAGCTTGCACTCGTTTATGCTGATCCGTTCGCCGTGCACATCGCGCAGGTGTGACAGATGACTGCGCGGATTCTGGGTGAAGAATGCGCAATGGCCACAGCTGTAGTTTCTGCGTATCTTGCACTGTGGCAGTTGTGGCAGCTCGCCCTCAGCGTTCGGTTTGTCCTGGTACCATTCAGCTCCTTGTGCGAGTAATGGTAAATTGGACTCCGGTCCCCCAGTGTCATCGTCAGCATTGTTTCCAACAGGCATTTGATACATGGCCGTATTATTGAACAGATTGCGCACCACCAGACGGTCGCCCGTGCGTTCCACCATTGATGGGAACTCCATTGCTTAAAATAAAAACAAAAATAAAAACAATTTTGTATTTTCTTTGAGTTTTAAATATTTTTCACCAACTTTTTGTTCACTTTTTCTTTTTTGTCAACACAATTTATCACCAAAAATTATTTTTTTTTAGAGCTAGATTTATGTTTTGTTTCCAAGATGTTTACGCTACGAGTGCTGTAGTTCAACTGGCAATCTCTGGCTCAAATTTTGTGGTCGGCGTAGCGTTTCTTTCCTGGAAAAGCCTACTTGATTTCCAATACATTTCCACCAAGAGACGACCGAACAACCGCGTGGTGCCGGTCTGTGCTAACACGCAGGCCGAGCGAATGCTGTCAAAATTAAAAAAAAAAAGCAAAAAAAAAGCCTTCCATGGCTTCTATTTAGTTTATGCAACGCAATTGCTTAGTATTTATTTGTCATAAGTCATCTTTTGTTCAGGTTTTATTTCAGTGTTGTAAAACATTATTAATTAACAGTAATTGTTGAGTGTGTGAGTGTGTATGTACATATGTGTCAGGGGTGCAGGGAAGTGGGCTTAGACCGTGGTCTCATCTTTTGGTTTAACGGGAACATATTTTGTAGTTGTTTCTATAAAGGTGTTGGGTTCGACAGGATTGCTCTTGCTGTACAGGCACAGGGGCAGCAGTTGCACCAACAGCTCTGGTTGGATATTCAGCTCGTATTCGCTAAAGTTGAAAAGAGACGGCAACTCGTAGCCGTTGGGCATTTTGATGCTTTGGAACTCCATGCTGCGCAGCTCGTCGTAGCTTGCGTGGGCACAGGCTGACATGGGGTAGATCCTTTTCTTGGGATCGTACACTAGACAGCGGTTGAGCAATTGGGCGAGATCGGGGGGCACCTCTCGGCCTAGAATATTCACCCAGATGTTACGTTTATACATGGAACCTCTATGATACCCGCACACGGCATTGATGTTTGGGGCATGCTGCAGACCGCGGGGGCCCAGGGTGTGAACCATCCAGCGCAGCTGCTCCTCGTTGTGAAGGATGCTGTGGAAGAGTGCTTGTCCCGTGAACATTTCGGCGAGCACACATCCGGCACTCCAGATGTCCACAGCGCAGCTGTAATACTGGCAGTCCGCAAATAGCTCCGGGGCTCGATAGAAACGCGAACAGATGTAGGTGGTGCTGGGCTCCTTGTGGTGCATAATCTTGGCGCTGCCAAAGTCGGAAATTTGCAGCAGCATCGTGGAGTCGTTGATCATCAGATTATCGGGCTTGATGTCGCGATGACAGATCTGCATTGAGTGCAGATAGGCCAGTCCACGGAAGAGTTGATATGAGATAATGCGAATGTAGAGCATGTCCATGCTTCGGCCATTTTGTAGCGACCTGTGTATGAACTGCGTCAGTGTCATGGGTATGTAGTCCATGATCAGTAGCATGTAATCTGCCAGCGGATTCCCCAGCTTCACAATCGAGTGCATGTACAGGCGCCGTATGTTGCAGTGGCATTGCAGCAGCATCATTATCTCCGGCTCGCGATAGCAAAGGTTCGTATCCAAGTAGGTTTGCTTGATGGCCATCGTCTTGAAGGAACTGTCAATCGTACCGACGTATACACGCCCAAAAGCACCGCGACCAATCGACCTTCTGAAATGCAAAAGGAAAGGCTTCCTCTCGACACCCGGTTGATTTTCAGGAATTATCCGCAATGCCGAATCGTTGGGTATCATAACTGGATGCTGATGGCCTTCTATAAAGTTAAGAAATAATAAATAAAGAATGATATACTACATAGATTCTTAACGCAGCTCTCACCCATTGTAATTTTTCTTTTTTCCTTTTCAGCAGCTCTCGACTATTGTTCTCAGTGCCAGAAATGTTAACACTTTGAGAATTGTGGCATAGATTTGCCAAACAACTAGACTGACACAACACACTATACATTCGAGCAAAGTGTATTTTTTGAGCAGACACTCAAATGCTTCTTTGATGAAATATAGAGAATTGAGTGGGTACTCCATTTTATCGATATTTTTTTGACACCTCAATTTTGATCATTTTAAGCCACGGATCCCCCACAGAGGACACTCTGAAAAAAAATTCGCAGAAGCCGCTGTTCTGTAACGGGATAGCAATAAGATTAGTCCAGTATTAGACGCCTTCAGGTAGTCGTACCCTAGAGGAGCGATATCGGGATTTGTCCAACATAGATCTGCATTTTGAAGCCATCATAAGCCTCATAATTGCAAATTTAAAGTTTATTTTTAGTGTGACCGACCCTGAGTACTTCAAGTGTTGAGTAATTGTAAATATTTATGATTTCATTGAAGATCAATCAGCTGATTGCAAAGAAAGTTTTAAATTTAAATACAAAAAATCCACCTCTGAAGCCAAGGCAAAATAAATGATATAAATATCATGAGAACTCTGCACTTTCAATTTCCAACAGGAAACACCAAGTGCTGGGCTCTAGACTCAGGTCTCTGTATCAATATGTATTAAATTCTTAATTTTACATTTTATAATTGATATTATTAAATTATTAAGTTTTGATTCTTTAACCAACTCTTGCGGGGGTCCGGCAAAGTAGTCTCATTTGTCTGCCACCAAATCCAACTTTTGGAAGTTTGATCTTACCTTGAGATGGAACTCTAGGCGCCATGTTGGCTTGTAGGTTTTATCTCTTGAGACATTGGCAGAAGGCCAGAAAGGTGCTGTAAAGTATGCTTTGGGGAGCGTGGATTCTGTTCTCTAACTAAAAAAAACAAACAGCTAAGTTGTTGCTTTTGCACTGGCACTGAGCCAAGCAAAGCAGCAAATGGAAAGTGAAAGTTCCAAGGAGACGGAATAAACGCTGCTTGACATATGTATGTAGGATACGATGTGCCACTCTTGCACCCCAGCTCCTTAAAGGAAATGTGGGAATGGAGCTTGTTGAAATTGCATTAAAATAAAATGGAATGGAAAATGGAATGGAAACTCAAATATATTCGACATACATTTGTTTTGCTTTTGTTTCGATTTGGGTTGTGCCACGGAAATCCGAAAGTGGATTATGTTTATGGTTCATTCGACTTTAATGCGATAAGTCGGTCGTCGGTTCGAGCCATTATCATTTTCCGTCTCTCTCACTCTCACTGGCTCAGTCTCTAACTTGAACAAAAAACTTTCACCCGCTTTAGCCACAATCCGTAACACCGCCCTACTCCACGCAAAGTTTATGGGCCATGCATTTACGGAAATGTCGCCTGCCAGGGTATTCTCTCTTTTACTCTGCGGTTCAGAGTTGAAATTCATGTAATTCCATTAACACAGACAACTTCCGTTAGACGAGAAAATGGCAGCATAGCACAGCACACTCTCTTGCCTAATGGCCGACCCCGACGCGTGTGTTCACGGTGGGTCCGGGTCCGGGCCCGGGCCCGGGTTCGGGACTGGGTCTGTGGCCTGGCTTGAATGTCGCTGGCTGGTCTGGTTGGCATGACTGGATTCTTCGGTGTGTGTAAGAGATGAGAGCGTGATACGATGTGAAGGAACATAACTAGAAGGAGTTAATCCATCTAAAATGTATCTAAAATTTACAAAAATAAACCTCACTCACCACTTTGGTAACTACTTTGCTCTGCAGGGAGTGAGAATAACCAAATTAAGTCACAAAATTCATTTAGTTTTAACTTAATCAATTAGAAGTAGTTGCTACCCCTAGAGACCCTTTCTCACGAGTTCATCTCGAGCTGTTTCGATGAGGTTTCGGTGTCTATAGCTGGCCTAAACCAACACCAACCAACCACCCATCCTACCCACCCATCCATATCCTTTTGCTAGAGCTTTTGCGACATTAAAATTAAATTCCCAGATTCAAATGGCATATTTTTTACGATGGCATAAATCTGTCTCTGAGCAACAGGTTTTCATCAGGACTCCGGGTCGCACTCTCTATGGGAAGCAATGAAAAACTTCCAAACGGAAATGACTGTCAGGCCAAAAGTGTGGAGTCTCGTCCCATCCGGAGACCCGGACAGACACTTAGGATATCCGTTTAAACAGTATTTTCTCCCTCGTGGCTTTTTTTTCTACGTCTGCTTTTAGGGATTCCATATATTTCTTTTTTATATTGGGTGTGCTTCCGCTGCATCACGGCTGGGGTTTTCTGGGCTTGCTCTGGCATTATAATTACAAAGTGGCTGGGCTCAGACGGAGAACCCGATTCGATTCCGTTGGATGCCGGAACACATTTGAGTGCTATCCTGGCCGCACGCTCCATGCAAATTAGACATCCATCGCATTTGTCAGAAAGGTTCATAATGAACTTTAACTCCTTGCTGGGGCGTTCATAAATCACTACGGTTATCCGTAGTGCAGCTGGATCGGGTCATTTATCAATATTTGAACTCACTTTTCACCCATCCTTCTCCGTGTCATTTCTCTTGTTTGCACTCGGAACCGATTTGGTTGGCTTTTAATGCGATTTGTGTGCAACTCGTTGGGAGATTCGAATTGGCAGCATATGCGGATTAGATTTGGATTATTCTATGAGCAAAATTTGCCAAATTATGTCTGATTGATTTTCACGAATCATATGGAATGTGCCTAGAATTATGGAAGGTGAATAGAGTTAAGGATTGTACGAGCATATATTTATCTGGAAAAATTCCATGGATTGATTGATATTTAAATATTTACATTTATGGGCAGTAAATATGTGAAGTGAAGTATGCTGGAATATCATTATTGATTATCATTTAAATGTCTTCTTTCGTCTCTCACTTTGCCAGTCTACCAAATTACCTATTACAATAAATTATTTATACGAGTAGTATTGTTGAGTACCCTTCAAGCTGGAGAGCATTCTTAGAGGCTGTTCATTTGGAAAACGTGCCGCCCCTTCGCTGCGGTGCGGCAAGGTGCAGGTTCGTTTCGGTTTGGTTCTCGTGGCCAAGCACTTGACGTTTCAAAGCCAATGGGTTAATGAAAATTCGCAATTCGTGGGAAAAATCTTTCAATTGCATTGGCGAAACATACAAAATAAAACAGCAAAAGTGTTTAGTCAGTACACCCGAGACTGTGTAATTAAACACAGATTTGAATGAGTGAGGAATGAGTATTCGCCATGGAGAGTCTGAGTCCCAAGCCCAGGTGGGGGTACAGAGCTTCGTTGTTGGGTTAGGTAGTGGCACAGGTAGTCACACCTTTGTGAT